CCAAGAAAAAGAAAAAAAAATCAACAGTTGGTCACTAGTGCCAAAAAAGATTGATATGCTGAATGTGCTCCTGCATCTAAAATACGAAATGTCAAGATATGACCGACCAGTGCTGCCATGTCCAAGGTACAAATGAAACACCATTTAAACAGTGCAAATGAACTTTAGTCTTGCACATTGTCTATAAACGAAGGGTCTTTTATACTGCCACCCGCATCATTCAAGCCGGCAATAGGCCGGTTATAACTGAACCCAGCGAACTGGTTTTGCATTGTCTGGGAGAGAACGGGATCATCCACGAAAGAGTCCTGGGCTGGTTCAGATGTGAATTGAACATCGAAGTTTGCGGTATCAAGAGCATCAGCCTTTTGAGAAATAGTTAGGTATGATGTAGGTCAGACTAGGGGGTTAAGGGTGGAACTTACTACGTTGGGTTTAAAAGCCGGTTCATACTTTCGTTGTAGCAACTTCCTCCAGTCGATTGCATGGAAGAACGGGTGAGCTTTAATTTCAGCTGAACCGTTGGCTCCCAGTCGCTCAGAAGGTTCTCGGTTAAGAAGTTTAGTTAGGAGATCTTTTGCAGTGGCTGGAACGATATCATGGCTTGGGAAGGTGAGAGGATCAGATAGAATTTTGCGGTACATCTCGTTCGTATCTTCAGCGTAGAACGGTGGAAGACCAGTAAGCATTTCATACAATAAGACGCCTAGGGTCCACCAGTCCACAGTCTTGTTGTATCCGTGACCAGTAAGAAGCTCCGGAGCCAAATATTCTGGTGTTCCGCAGAAGGTGTGTGTCTCATCCTCGTCTTTCATCTCAAGCTTGCAGAGCCCGAAGTCACAAAGAGCAATATGGCCTTGGTAGTCCAGAAGGATGTTCTCAGGCTTCAAGTCGCGGTAGATAACGTTGAAGCCGTGCAGACATTCGAGAGCACATAGTAGCTCGGCAGTATAGAAGCGGGAACGATTAATGTCAAAACGCTGCTCCTTGGTTAGATGGTAGAATAATTCTCCTCCGTTGACAAAGGCCAGGATAAAATAGAGCTTCTCAGGGGACTGGAATGTAAATTTAAGGGGCACAATGAATGGGTTGTTTATCTGAGCAAGGACGGAACGCTCAGCAAGAGTATGTGTCACTTCCTGGCGGGATATGATCTTTGCTTTTCGGATAATCTTCATGGCGTAAATTCGATGGGTATCTTTCTTTCGAACCTGCATGACTTTACCAAAACTGCCCTTGCCTACGACCTTGAGCAATTCAAAATCGTCAACGTTCAGTTTATTCGTTTGGGTTTCAACATATTCCCAGCCGATCTGAAGCTTGCCGGTACCGTACTGCAAGTCAATCCATTCAACCTCACGGTAAGGCCCGTCGAATTGGGGGCTAATCTGAGCAACACCTAGGAAAATATCCTGGCTCCGGCCAGATCCCGGTGCAGCATTGGGGTTTCGAAGGTACATGTGCACAGTGAGCTGAGCAACACGTGAGACGTCAAACTTGTACTGAGTGCTGGAACCGGCCCAAACAGGATTCTCAGGACTGCCGTCTATGGAGTTGATGAAGACCTGAAGCTTATCAAAGTCTAGCAGTGCGTATGGCATGTATTTCCGGGATATCCTTCCGTGGTTCGTTGGGATGCCCGTGAAGCCACCTCCAGAAGTCTGTGGCCTATTAGAGCCATTACCCCGACCTACTGCAAGTGAGCTCTGTTGTGTAGAACCGGCCACGCCTCCGGTGCTGCTGTTGGTACGGTGGTGTGAAGCGAAGGCCTCTCGATACTGTTCTGGCAGGGAAAACCCACGTCCTTCGTAGAGAGTGACGACGAGAATGCCTGGTTTCGACGTATTCGTATCTGGAGCTGGTCCGCCTTCCTTGGTAGAGCTGGCACTGCTCACCGTAGGCGTTGTAGGAGCATCTTTGTCCTTACTCGAAGCTAGGGAGCTGGAGAGGTTGGAGAGGGCGCTCAGATGGGTCTCTTTCAGCTCTAAAGGGACAGCAGATTAGCATCACCAGAAAAGACCGGGGGGACTGTTCCCGTACTCTTTGTGATATTCCAGGACATCTTGCAAGCACGACTTCTCCGGGGTGTTAATTAGTTATGGGATGCTCTGGTCGCTTTTTTTCTTTTCGCTGATGTTGAAACCCCAAGATTTGCCCGTCTCCTCGCTCTGCTCGGCTCTCCAACATGTGTTTGTTTAACAGTAATCCTCCAACTCACTGCCCTTGTCGACCCCCACTTATTTAACTAAGTCAAAAGGCAAAAAGAAACAACGGAGCAAAAAAGGGGGGATGAAAGACGAGGACTTCGCGTTGGCCGCTGTTCTTTTTCTTCCCCAACGAGTTGTTCAGGAGAAGAGACGAGGAAGAGGCGTTTGGCTCAGAGATCGCCGACTAGTCGACTAGTTAGCCAGCGTTGAACTGATGGCTGTTTATTTATATCTACATTGACTGCCTGGTGTCCGCTAAAGTACTCCGTACATGTTCAAGGATCACTGGCCTCTATTTACCCTGTCCTAGACGGCCACTTGCCATCAGGCTGGTGGCAAACACACGTCGACATCGAAAGCGAATTCAACCAGATGAATACTCATGACAGTACGGGGTCAAGGTGCCTATTTGGTTGTTATCTGTTTTGCGGCGTTAACGCCTTGTCTTTAACTAGTACGGAGACGGTAGACATGGCAAAGGAAGACTGAATGAGAAGCAACTCATCATTCCTAGTCACTGTATGATACCTTTGGCTCCGACCTACCCTAAGCAACTCAACCATTGGCGCCCTGCATAGAGCATGTCAGCACTGTGCATTTCCGATGCGCCAGAGTGAGACGTACCCGGTGATGGTAGTCAAACCTCGGAGTACCTAGTCGAGGTTGCACTCCATGGCGGACCGTGGTTTCTGTTTCCCCTGATAATGACGTCTAGGTGGCTCCTGGTGTGAACACCCCATGGATCTCAACTGGCGGCCGCAAAGTGCTTTCTTCTGTCTCCGCCTTGCCACGAACTAGCCAAAAACCACATGTCTCACCCGAAGGTTCGACGGATAATACCTTATATTCGGCTCCATAAGCTTTCCCATTGTCGTTCCGTCATGGCTGTCCAACTTGATGACGGCTTCTGCCGTAGTCTTTAGTTTTCTCTGGGTTGAATTCTATAAGGCTCGATGTCAGCGTTCCCTCGGCCCTCGCAAACACATATACCTCTTTCCTTTGGATAAACGTATAGCTTCTAGAGAAAGGTGCTGCCATATCCATGAGTCCACCTCCAGCGATATGGCTAAATGTCATATGAAGGTAGCTGGTATAGAGCATCGCCCTCAGGCTCACGCTATTTGAAAAACCATCAAGGAGAAGCATGATAACCAGTTACCAAACTTCACCAGTCGTTCAAGTAAAATTTTCACAGGAAAAAAATCAAGCCAGTGCAAGCCGGTGTACAACCTCCGGATGATTCTGGCAAGACCCAGCCTCTGTCATTCGAGTAACCAGCATCTATATGGAACATATGAGGGTTATTGGATCGAGTAGCTGGTAACCTTTGTCCTATATAACATTTCACTACCAGGCTACCACTACATTATACCTCTGCCTTGTTCCTATCCCGTATTTTATCTAAGTATACCTGGGGAACGTGAGTTGCTATCTTGTATTATAGGGAGATCGGTCAAAAATGATCGATTCATACACTCGGTGGCTAGCTAATGCGTAATAGGAGTGCCTTTAATCTTACTGCCTCTCTTTATTTTCGCTCGGAATATTTCTTCCTGAAAATGATGCAGCCATGGAGCGTGGCGGGGGCAAGACTAACGGAAATTCTGGAAGTATATGGGTTACTGCTTCTAGCACTGTTAAATTGCCATGCTGACGTTTGTGGGAGACTTCACCATTAATATGTATAATATTTAGCCTCAAGTCCCTGGATAATGAAGCAAATTTAAAATATGGTCCGTTCCCTATAGTGCGAGAGATGCTCTGCGCAGAAGCCGCATGCCCAAAAACGGGGAAATGCTCCTGAGGTATGGACCTTTAGGAGAGCTGGTAACCACCTTAAGGAAAGACAAACTAGACTGGTGAGATAAAATAGACTCTTAATATCAAGAGAATTGACAACCAGGGAAGGAAATATAAAGGTATCATTCGTTCCTTTACTTCCAAGGTTAACGGTTCTCTATATACTTCGAATCTAGATGTAATAGCATGGCCATTAGACAACAAACAACTCATGGAACAGTATACTGCTGTTAAGTGTTCTTGAAATCGTGACCGTTGAATGGAGGCGAGAGGTCTGGGCTGTAGTTACATTTGCTCTTTTAGGGAATTGTTAACTTCAATCTCAACTGTCTAACAACGACATCAACCTTCGCGCCGTCAACAACTTCAGCAACTTCCTTCCAACTAGAAGAACTATCCTCAAATACGAGGCCTTCATCGACAGTTCGTATCTCAAGAAGGATTGTCAATTTCTGGTTGCAGTGTATCTGTCACATCCATTGCCCCCCCAGTTTAGACCAACCCAACGCATCGAGCTTATCAAGCCAACTAGTTAGGTTAACAGGCTGAATACCATTTGCTACTCCGTATCTTGGGTAGCATTGAAATAACAAAAAGCTACGCTGCATTAACTACTCTGTAGTCTACTGGACTGCTGACTTGTCCTGAGCAGATTGATGATACGGAGTACCATCTCACTCCATCCTTTCCAACGACATATCACTGGAATAACGTCCAGATATGAACTTCCTTGCAATGTTATGTGGAGTCATGCTTTCTTTTTCTTTTCTCCTGGTGCTAAGTTTTGAACTCTCGACGCGGGCCGCTTGCTCGTCAACTAGCGTTTCATGTCTGGGGTAACTTACTTGTTTTCTCGTTGCCCGGCAGCAGACGAGAGGAGAAGCTCTTCTTCCATGCGTATTTCCGAGAAAAGAGGTCTGCAAAGAAAGACGGGGAAATAACGGCTGCAAGTCAATAACTTAATACAGGGGGGTCGGGGAGGGGGGGAAGAGGGCCTCGAGTAGTGTCCATACTGACAAGGCAGATTGGCCAGGTGGAGGGTCCCTGGACACCAGGCTTCAGGGACGGGTCTACCGAATGGGGAGATTTCGTATATGATAATGGATACACCAAGGGTCCTTTGATAATCCATCACCGCTATTATTTGCCTGTCGGCTGCCCTCCTTGTACAGAAACGGGGAACAGTTATAATCACTATCACGATTGTCATGCTAATGGACATTTCGAAAGGATTTGATCCAACGCATTGGACTAACAAAGCTGCGCCGAAAGAGGGAAAAAAAAAAGAAACATCTACAAAGGCTGACCCGGAATTTAGTGACTTATGCTCCATACGGTAATACTTTCTTTCCTACTGTTTCTTTTCCTATTCATATGACCAGCTTACTTTTTCCGTTGACTTTCCACTCATAACTACGGAACTGGGCACATACCACGATTTGATATCATCGGCCGTTAGCTGGCAAGAATAGAGGCATTTTGCACCCTTGACCAATGAGCTTGAAGTGAGACATGGCAGCATGCATATCTGCGCCATAATGAAAGTCCCTTTTGGGGACAACTAACTCTCATCTGATAACTCCAACGTATCAACCAAAATATTTATACTTGAAGTATGTACGGCGATGTTTGGGTTCCGACTGCGGGACCATGGATGGCAGGTTGGCCAAGAGATTGATCTCTCCCCATCTACTAACTAACTTCTTCGAGTTACAAAAATGCTAGGACATGAGGCAGCAAGCGCCGTCTGATCGCCTCCGCGAATAGAGCTGTCATATCATATTTTGAGAACAGACACTTGGGAAGTCAAGAGTAAACCCGACCTGACAGCTCATTTGTTTTTTTTTTCTTTTCTCTCGTTTTGCCTCCATACTAGTGCTCATTCGCCAAATTCGGTCTCAAATTCCGACCTCTTCTTTTCCTGTCCCTTCGATTAGCCAGAGGCACCGAATTCCAATGGCTTCAAGTCCTGCGGCCGGGCATGGTTCGAATTCAAATCCTGATAATGGGGACTACAGGAAAAGGACAACGAGCACTTCCGCTGCCCTTCAAGGAGCAACTCTGGCGTTCGCATCACAAACACGCCAAAAACAGCCACGGAACAGCGGGAGCCCAGAGAGAAGGATACCGCAGCCCAGGCAGCCAGCAGGGCGAGCTGTCCATGATGGAGCTCGACGAGCAGCTCTGATTGCGGACGCCGCTGCAGCCCACAATCGGGCCAGTACTGGTACTGACGAGGGTGATGATGAACATCCTGTTTCAACAGATACCGGGGCAGCTGTGAAAGACAGGATTCAGCTCTTTGCTCATCCAACTAGTAGTGGCGGAGGTTCTACCGCAGGAAAAATTCGAGTTCCACAACTTGCCGAGTCTATGGAGACTGTAACCTCGGCCCAGAACAACGACCAAACGGCCTATAGAAAAGCCAGCATAAATGCTACCATAGTGACGCAGCCAAAAATAGGACCAGAATACAACACGCAGCGCATTGCAGCTAAACTTGCTGTGGATAGATCTGCTGCGGGCTCCAAGGCAAGATCAGGGTCCCCGTCCCGGGCCGCCACTGATGCTACGATAAGCTCACCGCGAGCCAGGGAATATCAAGAGTTTATTACACATGAGGCCCAGCGTGTCCCAAATTCGCTAGCTACCCGTGAAGAAATCGATATAAGTACTATCGGTACGATCTCGAGGAGGGACAAAGGCAATGCACCTCCAGATTCAGATGCGCCCGATGCAGGACAGCTCTCAGCTGCACAAAACATGCCAACACAGCAGAAATATGGAGCCAATACCCCCCCTCCGCTACCGAACAGGTCAGTGATGACCCAAGATCATTCATTGTCAAGAATGATGGATTCCGAACCTGACCAAGGGTCTCCTCCACCACCACCACCACCTCCTCCTCTACCACGGCGTGATAGAACCATCACTCCACCTCCAGCTCTACCCCCAAGATCCTCTACAGCTCCTCAGGGCAAGGAGAAACCGCCGCTTCCGGCACCACGACAATCGACATCGACTACATCTTCAACCATCGATAG